AGTCCTAAGGAAATAGATAAAATAAGTATATATATATATATTGCCATCCTGATGAAAGCCCATGTATTGGGGCTGAAACGTCGATATTTTTAAATGATATAGAATAAAAGTTATATTTTATTTTTACTATCATCAAGTCCTTGGAGTCCAATCATTTTTTTGTATCCTGTGCCTGACCAGCACCGGGCAATTACTCTCTAATCCAGGAGTGCAAGCATCTCGGTTTTCTTGTAGTCCAGCTTCATTTAATTTCACTAAATATTTATTTTTGTGTAAAGTAATTTTGTTTGGATTAAACGTTAAACTAAAGTGTATTGTCTTCTTTGTTTTAGTTACTATGCAATAGCTTCCTGCAGTGTAAACGAAGGTTAGAACAGCATGTCAGTAACATCAGTATGGCATGCGTGCAGACTAACCAAGATCATGGAAACCAGTTTAATCACATCCACTATTTAGTACATGCACTACTGAAACAGCAGGATAATGTGCTTGCTCTGAGAAAGTTACCGTAAATATTCCCAGTGACATGGTAATTCTACATACAATAATGCGCTGCTTTTTTCTGCCCCTGAGCCATAATTTAAACTAAGAATAATTGGCCTTTTTTTTTTCAATCTACTTATCGTTAAATTCAGCAGCAGGATTTTATTTTATTCAATCTCTGTTATAAAATATGATTTTGTTTAAATAAAAAATGAATTTTGTGCCATGTACCTAAATAAGATGCAGGGACTGTTGACAGCAAACAGTTTAACCCCTTAACCCCTTAAGGACACATGACATGTGTGACATGTTGTGATTCCCTTTTATTCCAGAAGTTTGGTCCGTAAGGGGTTAAGAAAAAACTAGTTACGGCGCACTCAGACTTGTAAATAAATAACTAAGAAGGCTAACGCCTATCTAAGAATAAATATGGGGATTTAGTTCCACCATATGGCCATATGATGTTAAGCCCACTACTACTTCAAAGTACCCCAATATCAGTGGGTCCTACACTAATAACAAAAATGTGGGAGATAAATTAAATAGTACTAGTGCTAAACATAAGCTACAGTGTATTGAATTAAGGGGTTAAGGACCAAACTTCTGGAATAAAAGGGAATCATGACATGTCACACATGTCATGTGTCCTTAAGGGGTTAAAGTATTGTGCATGTGGGTATGCCCAATGGCAGATGCACAATACAAAATTGAAACAGTAAGTATGGAATTTGGGATTTTACAATATGTTAATGTCATTATAAAGTACATGGGTAAATTGACCGTAAAGGAATCCTAGCAATATACAATGCTCAAAAAAATAAAGGGAACACTTGAACAACACAATGTAACTCCAAGTCAATTCATTTTGAGTGTGACTCCAAATCCAGACCTCCATGGGTTGAAAAATTAGATTTTTGTGTGATTTTGTAGTCAGCACATTCAACTATGTAAAGAACAAAGTATTTCAAAAGAATATTTAATTCATTCAGTTCTAGGATGTGTTATTTTTGTGTTCCCTTTATTTTTTTGAGCAGTGTACTAGTCTGTGCCTTTGAGGGCACCCCTTAACCCTTCTTCACACTACCTATCTTAGCTTTAATCCTTTTTACAACTATTGCATAATACAGTTTTGGGGGCAGGAAAAGGATCTGAAACAGCCAAGACAAATTTTAGTTAGTTATTTGGTTAAGGGGTGCCCTCAAACGATAGGATTCATTTATGATCAATTTACCCATCTACATTATAAATTTGTGTGACCAATCTGAACCACCAAAATCCCCTTGATACCTATCCATTTGCATTTGTTGCTATAGCATTACCAATTTAGCAACATTTATATTTAAATTTTTATTGATACAATTTACCAACAGACATTGTATCAAGTTTACACCCGGAATGGCTATGAGGCTGGATCCCTATTGGAAACCTTGTATCCCCTTTCCTGCTATCTAACTGCAATAATGAGCTTCTTTCTAACAAATAGATTTAGCTATCGAGCTCTTTCTGGCATATCGGATTTGATCAATATTGTAGTATCAAATCCTGACGGATAAGAGATGCATAAACGAGCTAGATATTGAATTTCGGGAATTATCGTCCAACTCATCTCTCTCTCTTTCCTATTTGCTCTGTCGGTTTTATTAAAACCAAATCAAGGCAGGTATGACCTCATTTCTCAGTATGTATGCTTTAGTTGTATAGTGTAATACCGTTAAAAACAATGAGATACTGATTTTTTCATCGCTGCTTCAGTTAACTGTTATAGTTCTGCACCTACAGTTCTTACAGTTAACTCTTACAGTTTTGCACCTGCAGCACCTAAACTAAATCTGTCAGTACTGAAGTTGCTGTTTATTGGATAGGTGAGTGCACAGGATCTTGTGTATTGTATAAATTGGCTCCCAGCAGCACCCTACTTATGCATATTCAGGTGAGTGCAGCCAGCCCCCTGTTTTCTTATATATATATATATATATATATTTGGGAGTCTGGCCAACTCCTTGGTTTTGCAGCCCTCCCTGTCACAGGTGCCTCATCCCAGGGCCCTATTTAGCCTTATACTGCAGATAACTCTAGATGGAATTATTTTCCCCAAGTAAGTAGCTCATGAAGCACTAGGCTGGTAGTGTAGGACCTGCCAAAGATGGGGTACATTGGTGTTGTGGCAGGCTTATGCAATGTATGATCATATAATGTAACTAAACCCCCATTATTTTTTGCCTGGATTAGGTTTTAAAAAAAAAAAAAAAAACCTAACTAAATCTGTCAGCACTGATGTTGCTGTTTAGGGGATAATGGAGTTTTCTGGATTTTCTGTTTTTATAGTAATACCTACCCAGACAGACTAAGACATTAAAATATCAGCAGGACAAGAGAACAGAACAGAAAGACAATTTAGAAATTCTCATTTTATTTACTCTTTCTATCTTTGCCAGAATTGACTATTACCATATCAACTATCTATGCAGACTAGTAGATTTATGTACAAAGGATCAGCGCTAATATACTAGATCTTATAGAGATAAATGTAAGGCAGAACACCTGAAAATAGGGCTCCCTCACCGGCCCTATAGAGTAGACAAAACTAAAAAAGGTGAAAGGGGAGGTGGCGCCACAGGTGAAATAAAATATAAATAAATAAATAAACCTGATTATAAACTATACAAGCACATATACAAGACACTATGTAAGAGAAAATACATACAAGATAAAAAAACAAAAAGAGCTTGAAATATGGATAATGAATAATAATCAAGAGTCCAAAGATAAAGTCCAAAAGAGTCTATGCCTGATAAATGCAGCAAAAAAAGTCCAAATAAAACCTTGTATAAGAAGTCGGTCACAATCTTGTCAGGGGAAGTATTCCTCAGTAACGTATGGACATGGGAAATTCGTGAAATCCATATGAAAAGACAGCAAATAATGGTGCAGTATATCCCAACAGGTACTAAGTACTGTTTTTAGAGGTCTATATGGTCCTACTCACGTTTTCCAGCGCTATAAGACTAGCTCTAGTGTGGATGGCATAAAGTGGTACAATCCCCACTTATGGGATAAGTGAAGTTTTGTAGTGGATGGATATCTTGTTGGTATAAGGACCATATGAAATGTAAAAGAAACAATAATAGTGCTTATTGTATAAAAGCCAGAGGTGAAGTAATAAAATACCAAGTGGTTACTCACATTTTATTGAGCAGGCAGACTGCTCAATGGATAAAGCTTGAGTGGTATAATCCCCACCAAGGATTCTTTGGAGTAAAATTCTCACTACAACTACAACTACAATTCTGAGCATAGGGCAATAAAACGTATAATTAATAAATCATGGCATATTTTGAAGACGGACAAGGATCTGGGGGATATGCTGCCGGAGAAACCTAATATTATGTTTAGAGAAGCACCTAGTTTAAAAAATTCATTGGTTAGAAGCTATTTAAAAGAAAAAATTCCACCAGTGACTAGAAATTCGTTTGGGGACTTAAGAGGTTTCTACAAATGTAGAACATGTTTAGGATGCAGGGAGACGCGTCAAACTGACAAAATAACACACAAATTTCAATCTATTAACACAAAAAAAGAATATAACATAAGAGAGCATATCACATGCGGGAGTAATAATGTGATATATCTACTAGAAAGCCCCTGCAAACGCCAAAATATAGGAAGAACCATATACGCCCACTTCATGTAAGAATACGGGAACATGTGTATAATATATACGCAAAGGGGTTACAAGTCATAGTGTTTCCAATCATTTTAAGGAGATACACAACCAGGACCCTTCAGGTCTTTTGTTTATGGGTATCAAAAGAGTATTTAAAGATTGGAGAGGAGGGGACTTCATTAAGAAAATCCGTCAGGAAGAGATGAAATGGGTATATTACATGGATACATTGGCCCCTGCAGGGCTGAACATTGATTTTGACCTTTTTAATTTCAAGTAACGTTATTTTTAGTCCAGCCTTTTTAATTTTATTTTTTTTCAATATTTTTCTTGATCCTACTAGTTCTCTTCCCCTCTGTTTTATGCACTTAATCACATTTTGTGCTTTTATATCCAGTAGAACTTTAGGGTTTATTTTAGATATTGTCTGCTATTTTATGACATGTGTTTAGTAGATATCCCCCTTTGGGGAACATATAATTCCTACCTCATGTATATAGGTTTAATATTGAGTAAAATGTGGGGATTTATTTTAAGTATTGTCTGTAGATTTATGATATGCATTTAATAGATTGCCCCTTTGGGAAGTATATAATTTCTACCCCATAGGTACATGTTCTTATTGCACCTTAATGGGCATAATGTTATGTCTAACATAGTGAGTTTTTAACTACATGATTAAGCCTTTCAGGGCACCACTCCTCTTTTTATTTACACTTACACATTGTAACAATTGTGGTATAGCAAAGTGGCAGACCATGAGTATTTTTATTTTGGTTGCCAGTAGTGATGTCCCGAACGGTTCGCCGCGTACTCATCATTGAGTAAACTTTGACCCTGTACCTCACAGTCAGCAGACACATTCCAGCCAATCAGCAGCAGACACTCCCTCCCAGACCCTCCCATCTCATGGACAGCATCCATTTTGAAGCTGCATTCTTAGTGAGCTGTCCAGGAGGTGGGAGGATCTGGGAGGGAGGGTCTGCTGCTGATTGGCTGGAATGTGTCTGCTGACTGTGAGGTACAGGGTCAAAGTTTACTCAATGATGAGTCCGCGGCGAACCATTCGGCGAACCGTTCGGGACATCACTAGTTGCCAGTAATATTGATTTTTATGGACATAATGTTCCAACCCCGAGTATAATTAATTTTGTACCGGAGTAATTGCTTCGTAATGGACTATATATGCGGTGGAACTGCTCATTGCATGGACACTACTTAAGAGATGCTGAGAGCCGACTCTACTTAAACTTGAAAAAGGCCCGAGAGGCGGAGCGACACGCGTTGCGTGGACCGGAACCCGGAAGTGACTGCGCTGAAGGAGAGAGTTGCCGAAAAGCCAGGACGCAGATGAGGATAGAACTTCAACTACGGTTTATCCTTGTTGATACCTGGACTTATTAGACTCATACACATATACCAGCAGCAGCAGTGGTATTTTTTACACATTGTTTTTAGATTGTGTTGCAATAAATGGAATGTTTTTTTGTACACCTGGCCGGTCATAGAGTGAGTGCTTTCAGCGAGATCACCAGTCGTATCCAACAATCACAAGGGGCTGATCCTCCTGGAACCTGATAGTCTGGAGTGCTACTACAACCATTCCACAATTGTGAGTTTGGAATTTTTCCCTTTTATTTTATTATTTGCTCTCAAATAATGCTGCACTAGGTCTGTGTCTTTCTATTGTAGATTGGACTGCCTGAACAGACCTGTGCAAGTATATAACTAATTATTGATTACTTATACCTGTCTGCACGGTTACAGTATATATTTGGGCATTATACATCTTTGCATTTTTATACATCCTTGCATGGCACTTTGCATGCTTTGTACTATATACTGCTTATAACCAAGCCAGGTTGCCTGTCCTTTACATTTATCTTGCGCACCTACTTTTCACTGTTAGATTTTTACTTAGTGCAGCATATCAGAACTCCTTGTAGGTTGCTGCATCTGGTTTTCTTAAAAGATACACATTTTCTCCATATTTGCGCCACCCTATTCTACCTGTATTTCTTTCCTGCTGTTCCACTGCCACACTATATCCTGAGATGAGAATCCTTCCACCCAGGTGCTTAAAGGACCACTATAGTGCCAGGAAAACATCCTCGTTTTCCTGGCACTATAGTGCCCTGAGGGTGCCCCCACCCTCAGGGTCCCCCTCCCGCCCGGCTCTGGAAGGGGGAAAGGGGTTAAAACTTACCTTTTTCCAGCGCTGGGCGGAGAGCTCTCCTCCTCTCGCCTCGTTAGCCGTTGAATGCGCACGCGCGGCAAGAGCTGCGCGCATTCAGCCGTCTCATAGGAAAGCATTTACAATGCTTTCCTATGGACGCTGCGTTCTCACCGTGTTTTCACAGTGAGAAGCACAAGCGCCTCTAGTGGCTGTCAATGAGACAGCCACTAGAGGATTAGGGGGAAGGCTTAACCCATTCATAATTATAGCAGTTTCTCTGAAACTGCTATAATTATGAAACAATGGGTTGAGCCTAGCTGGACCTGGCACCCAGACCACTTCATTAAGCTGAAGTGGTCTGGGTGCCTAGAGTGGTCCTTTAAGTTGGAGCTGGTTTGAAGCTCCATGAAATTGTGAGTGCAGATTTTATTTATTTCATCGCTCACTGAGATATTCCAACTTACTATACTATCAGTTTCTATATTTTTCTTATAGTTACATATTATTATTATTATTTATAAAGTGCCAACAAACTTTACAGAGCTGTACAATGGGTGGACTAGCAAACAAAGTAATTGTGACCAGACGAGTTGCTAGAATAGTATTCACTGAAGGCTTAGTGCTTTGTTTTTTAATTTTAATTTTTATTGATAGTTGCAGGAGAGGAATCAGGGTGCAGGGAAGGAAAGCTGGTAATTGTTTAATTGATACGCTTTCCTGAAAAAAGTGAGTTTTCAATGATTTTTGAAGGAATGGAGACTGGGTGAGAGTCTAATGGAGAGGGTAATGGAATTCCATATGAACAGTGCAGCAATAGAAATCTTGATGGCGAGCATCAGATGTGGGAATATAAACAGAGGATTGATGCAGGTCTTTGGCAGAGAGCCCTATATCTAAGGGGAAGCCATTGAAGGGACTGACAGAGGGAGAAGGCGTGGGAGGTACAAGTGGACAGGAAAGTGAGCCTTGCCACAATATTCATTATAGACTGTAACAGGGCAAGGTAGGAACACATGAGATCACTGAGAAATATATTGCAGTACTCAAGGCAGGAGAGGATAGCAGCATGGACCAGCACCTTAGCTGCATCCAGCATTAAATGGGACGGATATGCATATGTTTTTGAGATGGAAGCGAAACTATTTTGCAATTACCTGGACATGAGGGTGAAGGAGAGGTCGAATTAAAAGAGAACACATAGGCAGCGACTTGAAGGTAGACAGAAACGGGAGTAGCAGTGCTTGAGGGAGACAAGACCAGAATTTTTGTTTTGGACAGGTTAAGTTTGAGGAAGTGTGCGTCCAGTTGGAGATAGCAGAGAGGCAGTCAGAGACACGAGTCAAGAGGTGGAGGTCGATACATCAGGAGAGGACAGATAGATTTGTATGCCAACAACATAGAAATGATATTGGAATCCAAAGCAGCTGATGAGTTTTCCAAGGCAAACGATATAGATCAAGGACAGAACCTTGGGGAACACCAACAGAGAGAGGTTGAGTAGATGAAGAAGAGCCAGAGAAAGAAACATTGAAAGAGCGCTGGGAGAGCTAGGAGGTGCACCAGGAGAGAGAAGTATCTCATAGACTGAGATTATGGAGGATGAAAAGAAGTGGTTGATGAGCAACAATGTCAAAAACAGCAGAAAGGTCAAAGAGAGTTAGGATAGAATAGTGACCACGAGATTTACTAGCAATTAAATCAGTGGATACCTTGGTCACAGTAATTTTGACAGAGTGATGAGCGCAGAATACAGACTGGAGCGGGTCAAGCAGAGAGTTGGATTTAAGGAAGTTTTTCAATCTTGCATCCACAACTCTCTCAAGGATCTTGGAGGCAAATGGCAGCAGCTAAATAGATTTTTCAGAATCGTGGTTATGGTTGCATGTTTAAATGGTGAAGGAAATATGCCAAAGGAGAAGGAGAGTATATGGTATAGGGCTATTCCAAGCTATGGGAATAAGAAATACATGGCATAGTGCAATATTGTCTGTGGTAAAATGGATATATGAGTAAGTGCCAAATGTTCACTCACACTTTAACATCCCAAGAAATGCCTTAAGAAGTGTGCTTGGTGTGTCTTCTTGCTTCAATATTTGATGAATATAGATCTCATATGACACCAAAAAAAAAAATTGAAAAAATAATAAAATGACTGTATGAATAAAGAGTAAAAAAAAAAGCATTTATTACTTACATCAAAGTAAATAATTGATGTAAGTAATAAATGCTTTTTTTACTCTTTATTCATACAGTCATTTTATTATTTTTAAAAAAAAAAATTTTGGTGTCATATGAGATCTATATTCATCAAATATTGAAGCAAGAAGACACACCAAGCACACTTCTTAAGACATTTCTTGGGATGTTAAAGTGTGAGTGAACATTTGGCACTTACTCATATATCCATTTTACCACAGACAATATTGCACTATGCCATGTATTTCTTATTCCCATAGCTTGGAATAGCGCTATACCATATACTTACTGAATTGAAGATACGAGGAAATCTTCGGGCATATCCTATATTGCTAAGGGAAGTTATTCTTTATTTGTTCTTTTCACTATAATCACTTTAAGTTGTAATTTTGATATCACTGTATGTGGATCTTAGAATCATAGTCACAAATTTATGAGTGTGTGAGAGATTCTATATATATTTCTTTATATTGTTATTTCCTCAAAGGAGAAGGAGAGACTGAAAATTATAGTGAGAGGCAGGGCAAGAGAAGGAGACAGATCGGTATGGGAAGGAGAGAGATGAGAGATCCTTTCCCTAATTGTAGAAAACTTCTCAGTTAAAGAAACTCTCCAGAGGAAAACAATCCGTTTTCCTGACACTGCAGGTCCCCTCTACCACCTCCCATCCTTGGTTGCTGAAGGGATGAAAACCCCTTCAGTCACTTTCCAGAGGCAGCAACATGTCCCAATTCGCTGCTTCTTCCTCCTCCGACGCACCCCCCTTCATTACATCAGCCGGCGGGGGAGACTCATCCCGCCCGCCGGCTGGGAGACCTAAGCATTCGACCGCTCCATAAGGAAGCATTGAAATTTAGCGACGCTGGAGGTCCTCACAAAACCTGTGCTATGTACCAGGAAGTGCCCTCTAGTGGCTGTCTAGTATGAAAACTGCAATAATTACAGTTGCAGGGTTAAGGGTAGTGGGAGTTGGCACCCAGACCACTCCAATGGGCAGGGGTGGTCTGGGTGCCTGGAGTGTCCCTTTAAGTGAGTTGCATAGTTTGTGACAGTCAAGTTGGTAGGAATAGGAGGAGTAATATAGTAAAGAAGAGTTAAAAGTGTGAAATAGGCTTTTGAGGTTGTGGGGGAGGGTGGATATAAGGGTATTGAAGTTGTTTTCTTTTGAACAGGAGAAGAGTCAAACTGTAGGAGCCCAGCTTAAATTTATAGTAGAGGAATTCAGATGCCGAGTGATACTTTCTCCAGCAGGTTCTTGAACATTTTTTGAAGTTTTGGGTCAGCTTGGTGTGCCAAGCTTGTAATTGGGAGTGCTTGCTGTATTTAAATTTAGGAGGTGTTGCAATGTCTAGTTGCAACGAAAGAGTGGAGTTGTAGAGGGAGGTCTCGGATTTGAGATGGATAAAAGTAAAGTTTAGAGATTGGTGGAGAATTGCTGTAGGTCAAGACAGTGGAGATTTCTGTGAGATTGATGAGCTGGGGGTGGTGTAATTTGGGTACGGGGCATGACGATTTTTTTTAAAGCTTAGCAGATGGTAGTCAGATAGAGGAAATTAACATTGGAGAAATTAGAGGTGGTACAGAGATTGGTGAAGATGAGATCAAGAGTGTTTCCTGCTGTATGAGTTGCTGAATTGG